GCGGTGACTGTCTGTCCGTCCGTCCGTCTGTGCACACGATAACTCGAGTAAAAATTGAGATATCTTAACGAAACTTGGTACGTGCACTTCTTCCTGACGTAGGACGGATGGAATTGAAAACGGGCAAAATCGGACAATAACCACGCCTACCTCCCATATAACCGGAATTTTCAGAAATACGAAAACTGCGATATTTTAGTAACTACTGAAGATTATTCAGTCAAAATTGATATTTACAATAAACTTTATACGAAAAATAAGAATATTATAAATTTTTGGAAAATGGTTATGGTTATATGTGTATATCTTGGTAACCACCGCACCTATTTTTTCCAAACTTTCCACAGTTGTTAGCCTTGCTACATCATTCCAAACTGCCGAAAATTTTTAAAATCAGACAATAACCACGCCCACATCCCATATAACGGTAATTTGAAGAAATAAGAAATCTTCGATAAATCAGTAAATATCAAAGCTAATTTATTCAAAATTGATGCTTGCAACAATTATTTACCAAGAAATATGCTTATGATAAAATTTTGGAAAATGGGCGTGGCACCGCCCACTTATGATCACATATATGTATCTCGGTAACCGTTCTACCAATTTGTACCAAACTTGGTATTGTTATTGTGCTTGCTACATAAAAGCAAAACGTTGAAAATGATTGAAATCGGATTGAAATTGAGGACGCTTTTGATATAGCGGTAAATTTCAGATATTCTTGAAACTTCCATATTTCGAAATTTAAGGACGCTAATTTACTCAAAATTGATACACCCCGGCTTACCATGTAGCGGTAGCTTTCGAAAAGGTGAAAATCATATATTTAAAACTTGCGCCGGGTATTTAATGTTCGGCTCCGCCCGAACTTAGATTTTCTTGCTTGTTAATATTAGCTACAGTTTGCGAAGTTTTGCACATTTAGGAACAATTACGGTACTCTAATAGAAAAGCCATTATTTTCCATTATCGTGGAAAAATTTTGTTTATGCATATGAGTATGGAAACACTGAACAGGCACAACTTCTGGAAACAGTAATTAGTTTACTTATGTTTATGCATACAATATAAAAATTGCAAATATTGAAAAATGACAAAAAATTTTGTTCAACATTTTTTTTCTAATAATCTGTTTATAATCTGAACGATTTTCATCATATTATTATCATAAATCAGTAACAGCAAGTCTTGCCTTCAATTTGGTAATCATTACGTACCGATCGCATAACATTTACCAAACTTATACGAAAAACTTAAGTGGATCTCCAGTTTTTTTCTAAAAAAATGTCTCTTCAATTGTATAAATAACTTTTAAATGAAAAAAAAAACGGATTACAGAAAAGTGTGCTTTTTTCGTTCAAGCTGTATGCAAAGCAATATCGTCCGATTGGAGAGTCGTCAAAAGGATTTCCCAGGATATGTTAAAGACTATTGCATTTACCTACAGTCACCTTTCCACATTATGGAATTAACTAATTATTATATTAATTACTTTCATATAACTGCAAATTTAGAAACCGCGAAAAATGTGCTTCTTCGGTGACTAACGAAACCAGTCGGCACCAATTTTCAAGACTGCATAAATGGACTTAAAATGGGCGTTTCTCACCCTAATTGTATTATGTCAATGTATATAAATACTTATATCCTTGAAACTACTAATAACTTATCAAACGATTCTTAATCTTTGACAATACATGTTTGACTTCATTCACCACGATCTTGAAAACTGACCAAATCAGCGTGACCAAGTCCATGGTCATTTTAATATTATATAAACATCCGAAAACATTAAAACCTTTGAAATAAATCTCGTCTCACTTTTCTGTATTTTTCACTTCGTTGCTGAAGTAATGAAGAATTGAAAATTCATAAGGCAAAATTATAGTTTTTGTAAGTTTTATCTTAATATCTTAAAAACTTGTAGACTTATTGAAAAATGATAAATGCACGTGAGGTACTAAATTTAATAACCCTTAATTTGATATATCGTCCTGTTTATAACAATTAACGCATTCTATAGATATGACAAGCCCAAGATTCATTTTCGAAATTCATACACTTTGAATCAATTGCGCGGGCTAAAGATATGTTTTAAATTAATTTTTCGTGGCTAATAACAATTGGCTTAGACCTAAGACATCATAATATTACTATTACATAATATTATTATTTTCCCCCATACAAAATCGACCCAGCCTAATGTACATACTTAAAACTATTAGCTTTCGATCATTTACGTTAGTTATCAAATTATGTGATACATTCCACGTTAAACTCATTGGAAATTTTGTCAAAAAGCTGAGACTGCCATCAGTTTCGACTTTATTTTTACTATGAATACGCCCCATCATATTCTCAACTGTTTGTAATGAAATTCTATTTCTCTTTTCATATTGGATCAATTTTAAATCTGAAAATATACATGTGGCAAGTAAAGTAAATTAAAAATGAATGAAGTCAGCTCTTTATACATAGATCATTTAAAGCATTTTTCTTTAAGCTTATTTGACCCCAAAATGTTTCAATATTTTCGATCAAATTTTAAAAGCTGCCAGATCGTAGATATGTACATATATATTTTCTCTTTAACATGTATCAAAATTTTGTACTATGCGAAAAATTTAAGTATCTCCCGAAATGAGCGAAAAAATAAAGTATCTTGCACAAATACGTATCACTTTTGAAGTATATGGATCAAAACGGCAACGCTGTATGCAACTCCGTAAATTTGGGTACCCAGCTTCGATGAAAGCTGTTGCCTCTCGAATACACTTTTCGGCATTCGTTTTCTTATATTTTAAGTTATTTTTTGCAGGTGAAGAAAAAAGTAGGAAAAAACTAGCGATGGATCGTGATTTTTCATAGATCTTTTTTTTAGCAAATAGTATTCAATCGTTATGGAATTTTTACCAAATTAAAGGTCAGACTTATTCCTATTGACAATGCGACTCTACTTATGACTATACATAGAAAATTTCTGTAAATAAAATCCAAAATTACAATTTTACGTCTCATCGTAACATGCAACCAAATTATTTTTCCTTTAATTGCTCAAAGAGACTGTAGTCACATTTATTTCAAGGAACCAAACTTTGCCAAACCTTGACAAGTAAACAAAAATATCAATATTTAAAAATATTATTCAACAAAAATATCAAAATAGACCGATTTTAAATTTTCTAAAAGAAGGCCATAATAAAAGCAGTTTACTTAAGTTTAGTCTTAGATGATAGAAATGGCCTTCTTCTACCATGTTCGAAAGGTTTTTTCTTGAAATAGGTCTTCACTAAAAACAATTACCGAAGCAACAAGTAGAACGACTAAAAGCGTGGAGAAAAAAAAAACTATCACAACATTCACCGTTTTCAGGTTGACATATGTCAAGGGGAAAAGAGCGGAGGGAGTTTTCATGAGTTTTCAATTGGTATATCTCACTTTTGACCGGTTTTTCTGCATAAATAATCCTATGTGCGACGTTAGCAATACATTAGTGTACATATTAAGATTTTTGTATTGCAATCGATAGTTCGTCGATTGTTCTTTATTGTTCGTCAATTTTTAACGTTTGTTCGTTAGCCACACAGTAATAATTAATTTTTAAATTTTTATTTTACGTTAAGCGTTTAAACATCTTTCGTTTGATATACATATTGTGTGAATCTGTGTGTTATTTGTGGAAATAAAAGACTCAATAAAGATATGTGACAAAAAATTAGTTTTTATGGGTTTTTTCCAAACATAGTCCATAAATAAATTTTCTAAAATGTATATCTGATTTTCTTTTATTTGATGTATCATAAGCAGCGTTGCCGTTTTGGTACTTTTTTTTTAAGTTTTAAGATTTGATACTTCACTTTTACTTACTTTTTACATACATACATACTTTTTTTGTTCACAAATGCCACATTTTGATACTTTTGGCTGGCAGAAATGAATTTATGAAGAATATTAATAACACTGTACAGCACTCGGCTCTTATTTATATGGTACCTAACTTTTTTTTTGTGAAAACTTATATTATAGGTGCTATAACGGGTCAAAGGTCAGATCTTCGAGAAACTAAAAAACTTAATTTTTCAGAAAATTTTTAACAGATTTTTAAAAGATTTATATCGTTGTAAAGGTGATTTAACCCCCTTTCTTGTGATATGAAAATTTGTATACCTCGTATATTAAAATTTGAGAAAAAACACCTTTTTTTGTATAAAAAAAATATTTTAAACAAAACAATTACTAACCGATTTTAAAAAAATTCATATCGTTATAAAGCCAATTTTCTTCTGATATGCCTACTTGTATACTTCGTGAATAAAAATATTAGAAAAAACACTTAAAAGGAAAAAATAACTTTTTTTATCAAAAAATATATTAAGCAAAAAAATTACTCACAAATTTTTAAAGAATTGGCATCGTTGTTAAGGCGATTAAACCCCTTTTCATCTAATATGCATATTTGTATACTTCGTATATAAAAATTTGAGAAAAAATACGTAAAAGGAATAGATACCAATTTTTTCTTATAAAAAAAAAAATCAAAACAATTACTAATTAGTAATACAATTGAAAACCGTACTTAAATAAAGCAAATAATTAATAATGTTTTAAGCGTTAGTTGGTTCTTGTTTACCCACAGCCCTGTTAAAGTAAAGCAAAAGTATATGTAACAGAAGTCTAAGGCATATAAAAATATAAAAACACCATGGTTTCATATTTTCTTTTGATTATTAATATTTTGATAAAAATTATCAAATACCGGGTACGGTTTAGTTATTTGTACAACGATTTTGTGGAGAGGCGGAGGGGAGGAAGCGTGGCTCCCCTTCTTCCCTTCCTAAAAGAAAGAGTATGGACTACACTTTATGAAAAGTCACCCCTGTCCCTCACCACCCACAGACCCCTTGGGAGCTGTTTGAAAATAGGGGACTGAATATCTCGTTCGCTTGGTCCCTTCGCACTCACCTCATCTAATTTCCGTTTGAAGGAAAAGACTTCAGTTTTCAATTTTAAATTCACAAAGTTCACCTCAGTTTATTCATGAGCTTTTTATTACAATTAAAGTTTATGTTTTCACTTATAGATTGTACATACTACAAATACTAGCTTTCAGGGGGCGCGTGCGCGTAGTCCGACGATGATAGCTGAACTGCCTTCTGCTGATTTTTTACGACGATGGGGAGGCGGCCGTGCGCGCTCGGTAGTTGTATTTTCGGAGTTCACGTCGGTCAACTGCCAAACTGCTGCGGCCAAGGATTGCGCGCATGGCCGTCGTATTGCGCTTTAAGCGGCGGCTTAAACATTCTCCCCGCCCTGCAGGAATGCGCTGCTCAGTGTCTTCTGCAGCTCTTTTAGCGCGCGGATGGTGTTGCCCAGGACGCGGTTAGTGGTGCTGCCCTGGTAGCTGGCCGTTTGCAGGCCTTGGGGGTGCGCGCGATCGTCCTTTGGGCGGTCTTTTTGCGCGGTGGTTGCGGCGCCTGCCTTCCGTGGTTTTGCGCATTCTTCTGCGCCTTCTGCTGTGCGGTCTTCAGCGCCTTCCTCTTCGGTGGTGCGCGCCCCTTGTTGCTCCTTGGGGCCTTTGTGGCCGGTTTTCGTTGCTTGGGCCCTTCTTCCCTTGGCCCCTTGCGCGCATGGGTGTTGGCTGCCACATGCAGCAGCGTGTGGTGCGCTAGCCCGCAGGTCTTGCAACTGCCTGGTGAGTCGCATTCTCCGGTAGTGTGGGTGAGCGCGAGGCAGTTGACGCAGTAGCCCTGTGCGCGGGCCACTCCCAAATGTTGTGGCGGCTTCATTGCCTTGAAGGTCGGGCACGTCCTCAAGGCGTGGTACCGGTGGCAGAGCCGGCATTGTAGGCAGTTATCCGTCTCTGCCGTTGGAGCCAGGGGGCATGCCTTCCGCGATGCCATGATGTCTTCAATCTGGAAGTAGAAGCAAAGGCAGAGAAACGAGGAGTACTTGGGTATAATATTTAAATGGGAAGTTAAGACCCTTAATATACAAAAGAAAAAGATGTGTAGAATTATTTATTGTGGAAGGAAGCACAGTTTGACAAGTGGCCGCGTGATAACTCCATTTTGCGTACGGATTTCTACGACACGTGTGTGGTTATCAGGGCTGTGGCGAACGTTTTCGAGTCGTCCCAATCGTCACTCGGTGGGGGGAGCGAATCTTTTTTGATACCGATAAGGTCGCCTGGCTGAGGATCGCGTTGTGAGGTTTTCCACTTGTATCTCTTCTGAAGATCTTTGAGGTAATCTTCTTTCCAGCGGCGACTAAATTGGTGGTGAAGTGCTTTGACTTTCTCCCACCGGTTTAGTAGGGAGAGATCTTCCGCATTAGGCTCGGGAATGGCCAACAGCGGTGCACCTCGAAGAAAGTGACCCGGAGTAAGAGCTGTCATATCAGCTGGGTTTTGGGAAAGTGCGGACAGAGGCCTCGAGTTGAGGACTGCTTCCATTCGCACCAGAAGTGTCGTGAATTCTTCGAAAGTAAACTTGTGGGTTGCAGCGGTTTTCTTTAAATGGATTTTAAAGCTTTTCACTGCAGATTCCCACAAGCCGCCCACGTGGGGGGCGCTGGGTTGTATATATTGCCACTTGATGCCTTGAGTGGCATATTTTTTGACAATGTCTGCGGAACATTCGTTAAGAAATTTAACGAAGTCGCGTTCTGTTGCGCGCTGGGCGCCAATGAACGTTTTTCCATTGTCGCTCATCATTTTTGAGGGGAAGCCTCGTCTACCAACGAAGCGGGCGAATGCTGCTCGAAAAGTCTCGGTTGTAAGATCCGAGCATAGCTCGAGATGCACTGCCTCTGTGGAAAAACAGACAAAAACTGCAACGTATGCCTAGATAAGGGTTGTAGATCTTAGAACCGATGCTTTAATTTGGAATGGCTACTCCCGTTGTGGAAAATGGGAGTGAGAAACTGCAGCGCTCAGGGGGTAGAGCGGCCATTATTTGGGTGCGTGTTTGTTGCTTGTAAAGCGTGCACACCTTGCATTGAAAAATGCATTTTATAATTAGAGGTTTTGGCTTTGGTATGTAGTACTCTTGCCTTACCATTTGGAGCATTAATCGTGTTACTGCGTGAAGAAGCAGAGAGTGTAAAAACTCCAAATATAGCTGGCAGAACCTCGATTCGGTAGGGAGAATTATTGGGTGCCTTTCATTATAGCTCAATGTGGAATGTGCTAATCGGCCATTAACCCGTAGAAGTCCGTCTTTGTCCAATGAAGGATTGAGAACAAAAAGAGAACTTTTTTGTTAAGTGGCTTTTTATCTTGCAAAGCGCTTTTTTCGCTCGAAAAATGGCGTGATTGCGCTGCGCTGATAAGACGTATCTTTGCATATTGAAATTCGTTATGCGTCAGATGTGGATTAGTGATTGTTGCTAACCCCTTTCATTTGTTGCGTGCATTGCTCCCGAAGCGGAACATGTACGCAGTCACGCGAAGTGCTCGAGAGAAGGAAGAAAAGCGATCAAGAAAATCGACCTCTTCTTCGAGCGCGTGATATACCTCCACCTTGCGCTTTTCTGGTGGAGATGCACTGCACGCCTTTGAATTCGCCAACTCCTGCGGTTTGCACCCGCGGGTGCCGAGGTCGGCTGGATTATCTTGGCTGGCAACATGGCGCCATGTACCGGTTGGAAGATATTCCCGGATTTAGGAGGTACGATTGGATACATACGTCTTCCATGTACATTGTGGCTTTTCAAGCCAAGCTAGCACAATCTCTGAATCTGACCATAATAATGTGTTGCACGATTCCAATTTGAGCTGTTTTCGAACAGTTGCGACCAGTTTTGCGAGTAAGACTGCACCACACAGCTCCAGGCGTGGCAAGCTTACCATCTTCAATGGTGCGACTTTGCTTTTTGCAACCAAGAGAGTGGAATATCTTTGGTTGCTAGCATCTACGCGGATGTAAATTGCAGCGCAATATGCTTTTTCCGAGGCATCGCAAAACCCGTGGATTTGGGTGTCTTGCCCCGGAGTGAAGTTAACCCATCGAGGGATTTCGATGTGACATATGGCTGGCAAATTTTCTGCGAACTGTTGCCATTTTGCCAAAGCTATGGGTTTGGCACATTCATCTCATTCAACGCCATCCAGCCAAAGTTCTTGAAGCAGAATCTTTGCTTGAATCATTACTGGCGATAGCCATCCTGTCGGGTCAAAAATTTTGCGACAGAAGATAAAATTTGTCGCTTTGTGACGGCATTAGAAGTCGATGCAGGCAGAATGGTGTATGAAAATTTATCTGTGAGTGCGTTCCATTGTATACCAAGAGTTTTGGCTGTGGAAGCGCTCTCAAATTTCAAAAAGTTGAAGTCGAGAAGATCCTCCTTTGGAAATTTTTCTAAAATGACCGGATGATTGGCCGTTAGTTTCTTGAGTACGAAACCAACTGACTTAAGCGCTTTGATCACTTGAAAAAGTGATTCAGTGGCGTTGTCAATATCATGACTTCCGGAAAGGATGTCATCCACATACGTTTCGATTTGCGGCAGCCAAGGGAAATGTCGCTATCGTAACATCTGCTAATTGATGCAGGGTACGGATAGCGAGATATGGTGCACAATTAACGTCGAACGTTACGGTTTTAAGATTACAATCGGTGACAGGAGAGTCAGCCGACGAGCGAAACAAGATTCCCTGAAAATCGTTATCGTCCTCATGGACGAGTATTTGACGATACGTTTTTTCAATGTCGCCATTGAACACGAATCTGTGCATTCGCCACTGCAAAATGAGCAGCATGAGATCTGGCTGGAGTGTTGGACCAGTGTGCAACACGTCATTCAGGGATTTTCCTTAAACAGATGTTTTTGAGGCGTTGAATACCACGCGAACTTTGGTAGTCACCTTATCTGGTTTGACGACCGCATGATGTGGCAATTAGAATTTGCCATTAGATATTATCTCGCATGGCTTCGTGTGCTCCATATGACCGAGATCGAGATATTCTTGCAACACATTATTGTACATTGTGCCTAAGTCTCCTTTTTTCTGGAGCGATCGCTCCATACTGAAAAACTTGTGGAGGGCAGCGGACCGAGAGTTGCCCAGAGACAGATTTTTTGGAAATTCTTCCTTGAATGGAAGTCGCACAATGTATCGACCGTTTGGGGTACGAGTCATTGTTGTTGCATATATATGCTCACATGCCTGATCTTCAGGTGAAATTTGTGGAGGTTGTGGAATCTCCTCCTCTTCCCAAAACTTTCTAAGCTGAGAGCTGAGAGTTGTATTCGAGCACTCTTCTACTTGTGTCGAGAATGACACCACATTTTCGGTTATTGGACCACTGAGAATCCAGCCAAATATTGTTCTTTGCGCAAGTATAGTGTCGCAAATCTTTTGTATACCTTCCAGCACAATCTGTGGAAGTATATCGCTGCCGATTACCAAATCAGTTTGAGCTGGTATGTGACAGCTGGGGTCAGCAAGTTCAAGGATCTTGAATCGCTGCCAGTTTTCACGGCTAATGGTGAATGTAGGAATTTGCCTCGTGAGCTGAGGTAACACGATAGCCTGTGTGTGTTATCCTTTGCATGGTTTTGGGTGCAACCAATGTGAGTGCACAAAGCTTTGAGGAGCTTTGCACTACATGTCTACCCATGCCGGAAATTTCGAACTTGGAATGTTCGAATGGTAGTTTCAACCGTTTCTGAACTTTCGAGGAAATGAAAGTTCTTTGTGAACCTTGATCAATCAGGGCCCTAAGTTGAAACAATTCACCATCGTGTTCAACTGCGACCATGGCAGTTGGAAGGAGCATTTTGCTATCATTGTCGGTATGCAATGATTGTATTTGTGTTTGTTTGGAACAGCACGGTTGCTCGCTGGAATCGGAGCTTGACTGCGCTTGTCGAGCGGAAGGTTTCGACTGGGCAGTAGTGTGTTGTGCGGCGGTTTCATTCGCTCGCGCACTGGAGTGTCGAGATTGTGGTTTGGGATTCATGTGCAGCAGGGAGTGATGCCGTTGTTGGCAATGTGTACATGACCACTTGCTCGGACACTCATTAGTGCTATGGGTATTACCAAGGCAGTTTTTGCACAGCTTGGTTTGGTTTGCGAATTGTAGTCGGTTTAGTACCGAAATTCGCTTAAATTGTGGGCAGACTCTAAGGGGATGAGGGGACTTGCAGTAAGAGCAAGTTGCTTCCCTCTTAGGTTCTGCCACAAAGGTTTGAGTCCTGTTAAAGGACCTGTTTTGCGAAGCATTTTGATGAGCGACTGGTTTTTGTTTATTTTGGCTTGGATGAAGCCGGTTAAGTCTTTCGACTACTTCGTATCTTGAAGTAAGAAAATCGTCCATTTGTGACCATGAGGGTAAATCTCTTCGAGAAGAGAGAGATTGTTCCCAAAGTGACAGTGTGGTTTCGGGCAATTTGGATGACCATATGTACACCAATATGGGATCCCAACTGTCTGTCTGGACGTCTTGGGAATTAAGAACTGACAGACAGTTGTTGATTGATGTTTGCAGCCTTTGAAGTTGCTCGCTATTCTTGGAATAAATAGTCGGCAAAGTCATTAAAACTTTAATTTGGTTGTCAACCAAGATACGTTTATTTTCGTATCGTGACCGTAAAGCTTCCCAGGCCAGCTCGAAGTTATCATCGCTCAACGGGTATTGCTTGACGATGGAGCCGGCTTTTCGTTGAGTTTTGTATCTGAGGTGATACAATTTTTGAGCACGGGAGAGCTTCGGGTGGTTTATGTACACCGCTGTGAACATGTCACGAAAGGCGGGCCATTCTTCGTACCAGCCGTAAAATGTCTCCGTGTCGCAAGGTGTGTGTTGATAATCTGGCAGCACCGATTACTTACTGCTGATTTTTATTCTATTGCCTTTGCTTGTTCGTTCGCTTTTCAAACGCTAATAAAAATTTATCACCTATAGTATTT